GGGGCCGGGCCGGGGACCGGCAGTGCTGGGCAGGCCGGGGGTGCTCGGCCGGGGGCCGGGGGTGCTCGGGCCCGGGGCCGGCACCCCAGGGCCCGAGCCGACCCAAGCTGGAGAGGCCGGGGGGGCTAGACTGGGCCGCGCCTCCTCCCCCCACACCTCCCTTACCTGTTTCAGGCTTCCCGCGAATCAAATGTTCGCGGGAAGCAGGGGAGGGGGCGGAGTTGGGGCGGGGACTTTGGGGAAGGGGCGGGGGCGGGGCCGGGGCCCCGTGGAGTGTCCTCCTTTTGGAGGCTCAAAATATGGTAACCCTGGTAGAGCAAGCCCATAAATCTAATATTAAATACAAAATCTTAAGAGCAACTTGTATGATTGATTCTAACACTGACAGACAATCCAGTTTATAAAAACTCCCTCATGGCAGCAAGAAATGTTTGTAGCTCTGTAGTCTAGTGTCTTTACAGTCAGAAAAAGTAGCAAAGAGCACCAGACTCATGAAAAAGTTTCAGCATAAATCTTAAAAACCACAACTAAGGAAATAAGTATTTTACACTGTTTGGAATTTAGTTCATTTCCTTTTTTTTTTTAAAGTGACAATCCACAGCTCACATAACTGGATGGTTACTAGAAAAAGGGAACCTTACTTTAGAAGCAAAAAAGTTGATAAATTTAATATTTTTTGTTTTTAAATTATAAGCAGGCACTTCATATAACTGCTGAAAGATCCACTGAAAAATGCAGTCAAGTATCAATACATTGAAAGTTTTATGGCCAGAGTATCTGTAGATCAGGTGTTCTTATAAAAGTTGATTCAACTGTATTTTGAGAGAGTTATTGCACGGTTTTATTTTTACCGTACAATCCCAAGTTGACAGCTGTGTCCAAAAGGTCATTTACATTACATTTCAGGACTTCTTTGTTTCACGGGTTAGGATGCTTCATCAGGGAGAAACATTTTAAATTGCTAGGGGTCAAACACAGCTGTTTGATACTCAAGGAAAACTCCCATTCACTTCAATGGGAGTTGTGTTCAAGGACAGCCAACTTCTGCCATCCTTAAGTTACTACTACTGTAGAATTAAAAAGGTTGTGGGGTTAGAGCGAAATCACTATTTCTGTGCACCTAGTAGGATTACTAGTTGAAGCTAAGGAGGTTTTTTCAGACCCCATGTTTCAGGCACTTCTAAAAAAGTCAGCCTGTGCCTGCTTTCTCATGTTTGTTCACATAAGAACGGCCATACTGGGTCAGACCAAAGATCCATCCAGCCCACTACGCTGTCTACCGACAGTGGCCAATGCCAGGTGCCCCGAGGGAGTGAACCTAACAGGTAATGATCAAGTGATCTCTCTCCTGCCATCCATCTCCACCATCTGACAAACAGAGGCTAGGGACACCATTCCTTACCCATCCTGACTTAACCTCCATGAATTTATCTAGTTCTCTTTTAAACCCTGTTATAGTCCTAGCCTTCACAACCTCCTCAGGCAAGGAGTTCCACAGGTTGACTGTGCTGTGTGAAGAAGAACTTCCTTTTATTTGTTTTAAACCTGCTGCCCATTAATTTCATTTGGTGGCCTCTAGTTCCTATATTATGGGAACAAGTAAATAACTTTTCCTTATTCACTTTCTCCACACCACTTATGATTTTATATACCTCTATCATATCCCCCTTTAGTCTCCTCTTTTCCAAGCTGAAAAATCCTAGCCTCTTTAATCTCTCCTCATATGGGTCGTTCCAAACCCCTAATCATTTTAGTTGCCCTTTTCTGAACTTTTTCTAATGCCTGTATATCTTCTTTGAGATGAGGAGACCACATCTGTACGCAGTATTCAGGATGTGGGTGTACCACAGATTTATATAAGGGCAATAAGATATTCTCCGTCTTATTCTCTATCCCTTTTTTAATGATTCCTAACATCCTGTTTGCTTTTTTGACTGCCTCTACACACCGCATGGACGTCTTCAGAGAACTATCCACGATGACTCCAAGATCTCTTTCCTGATTAGCTGTAGCTAAATTAGCCCCCATCATATTGTATGTATAGTTGGGGTTATTTTTTCCAATGTGCATTACTTTACATTTAACCACATTAAATTTCATTTGCCATTTTGTTGCCTAATCACTCTGTTTTGTGAAATCTTTTTGAAGTTCTTCACAGTCTGCTTTGGTCTTAACTATCTTGAGCAGTTTAGTATCATCTGCAAACTTTGCCACCTCACTGTTTACCCCTTTCAGAGGTAGGGTATCGGGGAGGTGAGGGGGATTCTGTTTTGTTTGCAACACTCCAGATATTAGAATGTGAAAAACAAAACTGCAATTATTCTACATTAAAACTGAATTTCTGCAACTACATCCTCCAACAAGCTGTTATTAAAGTGCCAACAGGCTGGCCCCGGCCTCTCCGCGCAGAGAGAAGCCGTCACGGTCGCTAGGTGGTGATCCGAGAACGGGGCCGGCCGGATGCTGGAGGAGTGGGCCCATGAAAGCGTGAGAAGTAAATGCGGTTCAACCGGGAGTGGCGTGACCGATGGGCCTCCACCCAGACAAAGGTGAACGTTGAGACGTCGTCCGGGTGGTGGTCACGCCAGACGTCCACCAGGGAGTGATGGTCGACAATCTCCTGGAGGACGTCCGCGGTGGCTGGGTGCTGCTCGGTCCCCGAGAGGTCCTGCTCTTCGCGGATGGTGTTAAAGTCCCCACCCAGGACCAGGCACTCACAAGGATCCAAAGAGCCGAGCAAGGCGGACGCCTGCTGATAAAAGCACAGCCACTCCAGGCCCGATGTCGGAATGTAAACGTTGATGAGGTTGACCACTAGCCCCTCCATACGGACCTGGAGGTGCAGCAGGCGACCCAGCACAGCCTTGGCGACCCCCAGCACCTCGGGCCGTATGTGCCTGTTTGAGACCCTGGCTCAGTGGAGGGTGGCAGAGGGAAAATAGCAGCCCCTAGGGGGTCGGGACAGAGGAACAAGAAGGCCGCTCCCTGGGGGTCATCCTCCAGGAAGGGGAAGGAGACAGCCCCAGGGGAGGCAATAGCAGCACAAGAGGTGGATGGGAGGGGGCTGGGGTCGGCATCAGGGGCAGGGCAGGGGTCTGGAGCAGGGTTGGGGAGAGGGGCAGAGTTGGAACCGAGGGCCCTGCCAGCCGAGCTACCGGGGAGTGGCACCTCTCGGTCAGGCTCAGGGGTCCATGGAGTGGGAAAGGGGCCCTCGACGATACCAGGCTCACGCTCCAAGGTGAGTGTTGTGGCCACGGCATTGATAGGTGGGGAAGCAGCAGTGGGGCCCCCACCTAGGAAGGAGGTCAGCTGCTCTGCATCAACGAGGGATGCCCCTGATGACTCAGGTCCCAGCCGCGTGGCACTGGCCGTTGCCTCAATAGGCTCGGCGGCCTTTAGCAGGGTGCCATCTGCGGCCGGGCCGGTGGAAGAGTCCAGCGGTTCCTCGGTGGCGGGAGCAGAAGCAGCGGTTAGGCGGAGAGAGCATGGGGAAGGGGGGGCCAGGGTAAGGTCGCCCAGATTGAGGCCCGCTGGCAGAGGGTCGTCCTCCCCCTGGGTGCCTGGGGTCAGACCCAGGGCCTCAATCTCCTCAAAGATGGAGGGGAAATCACCACCCACCACCCCGGGGACCTCCTCACCAGTGCCCAAAGCGACTCTCGCCTCGGAGCATGCAGGGAGTTCAGGTGGCAAGAGGGCGGGAGGGGCTCCATCAGGGGTCACCCCAGGGAGGGACTCTGGAGGAGGGGCAGTGCTACCCTCCATTGCCACCATGTCATCCCCAGCCACCTCCGGCGGCTGGGATTCACCTGGGGGCAAGGCAGAAAGCTCGATGTCGGTGACCCACTTCCTGGTCTCTCTGGGGGCCTCCACATCAGATGGGAGGAGCGAAGCTTGAGCCTTCCGCTTGCCCCACTTCCCCTGTACTTGGACCCAGCCCTCCATGGCATCATCTCTGGGCTGGTGGACAGGGGTCGGGCAAGGGCGGTGGCACTGGAGCTCGGGGAGCTAGTGGTGCAACAGCATGGGGGAGGGAAGATTCGCCCTGGGGCGGGCCCTTTCCCACACCCGGCGGTAATCCCGCCGCACCCTCCTCCATAGGCCCCGCCAGACTACATGCAGCGGAGTGGGGCTCTCCCACTCGTTTGGGCACACTGGGGGAGATGCCCCCAGCACCTGAGTGGGAGCAGTGGTGGGCTGGGGAGGAGGAGGGGTGGCTCCGGGTGCCGGGCAGCCAGCGATGACAGGGCCAGCATCCTGTCAGGGCTTGGGGTCCCACACCTCGTCACAGGGAGGAAGACAGAAAAGCTACACAAACTATGCTTAGACCAGGAGTTCCTCAGTTTCTCTACATGTGTTTGTATTGTGCCTAGGACAATGGGACCCTGATCCTGACTGGGCACTGCTGCAATATAAATATGTAATCAAAATAATAATTACCAGT